AACATTTTTTTTCGATTTCTCTGAAACGGAGCAAAAACGAGCATATGTCTATAGGACTTTTTTTCTTAGTTTTTTACTCCTCTACACGCTCCCGAAGTTTTGCCATTTAATTTGGAAACACCCTGTATATAGAAAATGGTAGATTTTTTTCTTTACAATAGAGTTTAATTCATTTTGTTTTGTTTATTCGTTACAAAATAACAGCCATTCAGCAATTTTCCAATAGTCATCCTATAGTTGATTGTTCATATTTTTATATTTTTCTGGAGTTAAGTGTATTGTCTTGTTGAATGTATCGTAGATTGACAATATGCAGAGAACTGCATATATTTTTGCTAATGTATTGTTATATCTCTTATTCTCTCTATTCTCTCTTGTACTGTCACAAAGGTGGAGGGCAAAGAATGTATTTGGAGCGGAATCGATTACGCCTTGGATCCTCCAGAGCGTAGAGTTCTGAGGGCAGTCTTCTCGTCGGTACAAGCGGCGCAACAGATGCATACTTTCTTCGAAGATGTAAGTAAAGATTGACCAAATGATTACATGTAAAAAAAAAATGATTACATATTATGTTACGCATATGTATTCTACAATTGAGAAAACGTACGGGATGTACAAGAAGAAATGTTTTTTTGCAGGGAGTGGACAGTGCAAAGCAAGCCGGTGTCGTTGAATATCATGAAGAAGAGTGAAGATTTTTAGCTAATATAAGTAGCTGCTAATTGACTGTTGTTACATAATTCATTACCTTTCTATAAGTTAGCGTAAATGTTAATTAAACGGGTTTCATGTCGTTCTTCTCAAGTTGTAAGTAAAAAAATTGTATAAAAAAGAAGGGAAAAGAAAAGAAACTGTACGATTTTTACGTACAGCTTCCTTTTTTCTTTTTTTTTTAGACTCAAGACACGTGAAATTTGACAAATACAATTGTCTGTATATGCACACGAATACAAGTGCAAGTTCCCGTAGTAATAATTTATGCAAAAAATATACTTATAATAATTGCACAAATTGAAAAAAAGTAGATCAAGCATTACGATGTTTAATTCATTCGTTTATTTTTATGCTAGTATAGTATAACTATATAAAAAAGTTTCCTTTTTTTTTTTAAATAAAATATGTGCCAAAACTGAAAATCGCTTTCTACTTTGCAATGAAAGCACTATTTCTCCGTAGCTATACTGATAACTTTTTAAAAAACTCAGTTATTTTTAAATAATCATCTCTAAACTATACACTTTGAAGTGGATATTTACAAAAATCTTGGTAAGAATCATGCGTTACATGCTGATTGAAAAATCATAAAGAAGCATCACATTTATGCCGTTAAAAAGTTTCTACATCTATCGCTGTCCGGCCCGATTTTAAATTCGGGTACCCAAAATGTACCCGAACATTACAAACATTCGGGTCCCGATTCGATCCCGAAAAAAATTCCCGACTCGACCCGAACCTGAAATCTCGGATACCCGCACACTGCTAGTAATATTGTATCTCTTGGACCGAAATAGAAGTTGCCGCATAAAAAGATATGTGTAGACCATCGATATGACATGTGTAATATGTAACGTAAAAGCATTAAACGTTTGATCAAAATTTTGTTTTTAGAAACTATTTTCTCAGGTAAGTGATGTTTCCCACATATTAAAATCTTAACATCAAGTTGCATAAACTGCAGACTGAAGAGTGAAATACCTCAAGACTTATTCTTAAATTATGGAGATATATTTATTATACATTGATAAGAATCAATAGATTCTTACCTTGCAAATCTTTTTACATTTATATTCTATTATCACCCTGATAGCAAAGCCTGTTGGGACAGATTTTGAACAGAGCCTGCTACCAATTTCTGATTGCAGAAAGGCACCAAATTGTATACAGAATTTGTATTATCAATACTCAAAAAATACTTAATGAAAAAATATTTTATTAAAGTGTTTTGAAAAGCTCTCGAGGTAAGCTACGAGAAAATGTAATGAAAAATAGAAGTTTCATTAAAAAAAATCGACGTGACCTTGGCCTGACCTTTGCGATACCATCCAAGGTCAAATCAATGGTACTTTCTTATGTCCTCCGAATCATACAACTTTTGTTTGAAACATTTTGACTTCAAGATATGTTCTTCAAATATGGTTTACATTGGAAATCCTATTGCGGACACACAGTAGGTTCTTTTGACATATTATTCCGCTGGAATTTAAATTGCTAATTTTATATTATCTTGTGTACAAAATGTTCGCTAGATATAATATTATCAGGAGTGAACATGTAACCTTCCATTAATATTTCGAGAATATTATTTAATATTATATAATTTTAGTAAAATGTTCTTAAAATGTTACATTTAATATTCTAAGAATATGCTTAAAATATTGCTTAATATTAAATAATATTATGTGCTTATAGGGAAATAGCTTATATTGTAAAAAGTCCATGTTAGATACAATGTATTGTCTTAATGAGTATTGTCTGGGTATATAATTATGGATATATAATATAATTATACATATAAGTAAATATTTTAATGGCTCAATTTAAATTATATCAACAGATATATAAAATATGGACGAATAATCACTTTAAATAAACGAGATGATAATACTTCAAAGAAAAAGAAAACAATACATGAGATAAGGATTTGCATTAATTTTCAAGAGGAATAGTTTTTCATATAAAAGAGCATTCATTAATATGTATATATGTATATTATATATATTTTATTTATATATATATATATATATTTCGTACTGCATGACTGCATCACGACTTATTGAACTGCACGCTATATAAAGATGTGCGACATCGTATAATGTTTACATTAAGTACAAAAATAGATATGATTAGATATGATCTCGCGTAAACAAAACAATGATAAGAGAAACACACGTGAAATCGAATGTTAAAAGAGTTTCCCGATCAGCTTTGTTCTTTCAGCAGTTCCTGCAGCGCGCAGCGCCATATCACGCCGTATGAAGATAGCAGAAACGTTTAAAAAAACATGAGCTGATTAACGCGTTCGACGCTATCCACAATCCATGTCGGTGCCGTCGGTGGACTTCGAGCTCCGGCCTCCTAATGAGTACATATCATCGGGTGGATTTCCGTCGTATTCTAGCTGATGGTCGTAGTAGTTCTACAAAAGCAACTTCAAGTGATTCGCTACTATTGATCTGTTTTTTGTTCCTGCACTAGACTGCACTAGAACTCTCTTTCTCGCTTTCGTTAACTATCAAACATACATCTATCTCAAAAGTGTACACTAGTTCAGCCACAGAAAACAAACCTTATGTCGGCCGTAACGAAAGGTATAATGTATATGCCTACAATTTTTATTCTCATCCTTGATCAAAATATGTATTATTGTGGTTCATCACACTGATGATCGAAACTCCAGGAGATGGTTTTAAATATAAAATTTATCCCCTTCCCCCCGCGTTACATTTTTTAATATTTCGAACATCAACAAACTCGATTAAACTCTGCTTAATTTCATCATGGTGATTCACTTGTCAAATAATACCTGCAATATCTGTACTTGTTTTGTTAAACGGTTAACACACAGATATGCCTGGTTTATGCTTCGGTTTTAACTCTAAAATCCTAAAATTCAGTCAATGGATATACAGATTTATCTTTTTTTAGTTCATAGAATTATAAGAAGATAAAAAATAAGTTAAATCGAGATTAAAATCTACATTGATAAATTGGACATCTGTCATTTGAATTAATCGATTAAGTTAGACGATTTAGTTGGAATCATAATGAGATAAAACAAATGATGTCTCGAAAAGAAAATAGTGTAATAATTTCTGTCGTGTAAAGCTTATCGAACATACGTGCTTTAACATGTAATTGCAACCTAGTTTAGTATGGTAGTATAATATAGCAAGTAGCTATCTGTATATAAACACCAACTAAAAATAACATTTCATTAATATTATACTTTCCTATTTAATAATGTAATTGTTACATACATATATGCTACATTTATATTATTGTGTAGGAAATATTAAAAAAAAAATGGAAATTATAATATTATTGATCTAGTCTCCATCGAAGCACCTAATGTGATGTAGAACAAAATTTAAGTGTTTAACTGCACTTATTTCATTCCTTATTTCATTTCTGATTTGCTCTGAAGTGGTAAAAATTGTACCATTATATAAGTATAATATGTTACTGTTATAGTTGATGTTTACTAGAGTATATGTCATATTTTTTACAAATCCAATAATTTTCACTTAAAACTTTAATAATCTAATGGAATATAAAATCACAATCAGTCAAAATTGAAATATAAGAGAGTAGGTCATTAGAAAGTAAAATAAATTATTGATTTGAAATCTCTCACAGGTATTTTTATTGTCGCTGCAAAGCGTACTCCATTTGGTACAATGGGGGGTATGTTTATAAACAAAAGTGCAACTGATTTGTCAGTTGTTGCATCGACCGCTGCGATACAAGCAGCAGGCCTAAAACCAGAGAAAATTGACAGTGTTGTATTTGGACACATTCTAGCGGTAAGTCAGTTTTCATTTATAATTACCAATTGTGAGTATTTACATAGGTTTTTTAACTGAACTGACATACCTTCAATTTTTTCTTTACAGCATTCATCCTCCGACGGTACTTTTTTGGCAAGGCATATTTTATTAAAATCAGGAATTCCGTTACAAAGATCAGCATTTAGTGTAAATAGATTATGTGGTTCTGGTTTTCAAGCAATTATCAGTGGGGCTCAGGTTAGTTAAGAATTCCACAGTTCTCTAAAAATAGTAATTTAGTAAACATTAAAGAGAGAATAACTAACAAATAATATTATTCCAATAGAGAGAACAATAATAAAAAACCAGGTGTATCATATTACCCGTACATCCCATTTAAAAACGAAGGAAGTGGTTATTATGGCCATTATGTCTACACTGGCCATAATACCACCTTCTCCTCTACTAATAAGCAGTAGTTGCAGAAATTAAAGTTATTATATAGCATCTCTCATTATAGTGACTACATTTTTCCATTTCAGAATATTCTAATGGGAGACTCAAAGATTGTCTTGACGGGTGGTGCAGAAAACATGAGCCAAGTTCCTTTTGTTGTGAGGAACATTCGTTATGGCACTGCCCTGGGCCAGAAATATGAATTCGAAGACTCACTTTGGCTTGCACTTTTCGATACCTATTGTAATTTGCCCATGGGTCTGACTGCGGAAAAACTCGGTGCTCAATACAAATTAAAGAGAGAAGAAGTCGATCAATTTGCCTTGAATAGTCAGCAACGTTGGAAAACTGGTAGATATTGACAATATCTTACTTAATATGAAATTTTATGTATTAGTTATTAATTAAATATGAAATTTGTAATTTATTAATATGCTTTAATTAAATAAATTTAGATTATAGAATTTGAGTCTCTATTTAAGAAAACATATTACAGCCAATGACGCGGGTCGTTTCAACGAAGAAATAGCGCCTGTGCAAGTGAAAATTAAGAAGCAGAATACATCTGTAAGTGTGGACGAACATCCACGTACGCAAACGACGCTAGAAACACTTGCCAAATTAAAACCAGTTTTTCAGAAAGATGGACTAGTCACAGCTGGTTCCGCATCGGTATTGTGCTTTTATTCATTTTATGAATGGAATTTTTATATCAATCTTTATATCGTTTCTCCCAAATTTAATTAACTCGACTTTATTCTCGTTCTTAGGGTATCAGTGATGGAGCAAGCGCTATTATTTTAGCTAGCGAAGAAGCTGTCAAGGCAGAAGGCTTAAAACCATTGGCACGTTTAGTAGGATATAGTGTTGTCGGCGTAGAGCCGAGCATTATGGGAATTGGTCCTGTATCAGCAATCAAGGACTTACTTAAAGTTACGGGCAAAACACTCGATAACATAGAAATCGTTGAGGTGAGATTTCAATTTATATAACAGAAATTTGGCCCATCAAGCAGCATCTTTAACGTAAACATGTGTAAAATAATTAATACAAAAAGTAATTAAAAATATAATTTAGATTTTACTCTTGTCATGCATTAACTATGTAATTTCTGATAGATCAATGAAGCGTTTGGTGCTCAGACTTTGGCTTGTGCAAAGGAACTTAATCTGGATCTGAATAAACTGAATGTAAATGGTGGTGCTATTGCTATAGGACACCCAGTGGGTGCTTCCGGTAGCAGGATCACTGCTCACTTGGTGCACGAACTTAGGTAACATATCTTATGATAGCATAAAAAAACCCTTTTTTTTTTATTAATATTCTTATTTATATATATATTTTTCTTGCAGAAGGCGAAAGGCTGGAAAATTCGGCATCGGTTCTGCTTGTATTGGCGGTGGTCAAGGTATCGCTGTGATGGTAGAAGCGCTGTAATCAATTAAAAGGTTTAAGCTAAATTTTATAAAAATATTGCGATATACACAAACCAAACTAACATGAAATGATAAGAGTGATACATCGTATGATTTAAACTTTAAACAAAGGATTGTTAATTCTTTTTCTCATTCTAATGGTGTAGGTAATATCATGAAGAATATTTTTATATATAAAAATTTTAT